GTTATCCTTTCCTTGCTTGAAGGCTAAGAATCTCTTCTTACTATATAAACTCAAAACAGGCACATCAAACCGTAAGAAGAAAAACAAAACATGTCGATGAACACGTCCATGTTCACGAAAAGAGACGTTGAAAGCGGTGGCGCCGGTGGCGGTGCCAGGCCCCTCTACCCCACCATGCTCGAAAGCCCTCAACTCCGGTGGTCCTTCATACGCAAGGTATACATCATCTTAACACTTCAGTTGCTCCTTACCATCGCCGTCGCCGCCGTCGTCGTCTTTGTTCGCCCCATCGCTCACTTCTTTGTCTCCTCCACCCCAGGCCTTGCTCTTTACATTCTCCTCATTTTCATTCCCTTTATAAGTAAGCACGTTCCCTCTTACTTTTTCTGTTTCCTCTTTAAATGTTTTTTTTTTCGTTTCTAATTGTGATATGGTATTGCAGCGTTGTGCCCTCTTTACTATTACCACCAGAAACACCCTCTTAATTACTTCCTTCTCCTCATTTTTACCGTTACTTTGGCGTTTGCCGTTGGATTGACTTGCGCCTTTACTAGCGGTAATTCTCGCTTCTTCTTTTGACTTCTCTTCATGATCATTGTTTGTTTTTCTCATTTGTGGGGTCAATTCGTTCACAACTATTCCATGTGGGGAATGTTTTTGTGAATGCTAAAATGGGATAGGAAAAAGTTGTTATTTTTATTATGTGAGGGTTAGTTTTTAAGATGTTTGTACAGTGTGTCAACCTACAATGTTTAATTGGACATAAGGGACTTTCTGGTACGGGTTGGTTCTGGCTTAATTAGTGATGTTAAGTTTGAATCTGGATATTTAATTTTGAATACTCGGAAAAAGAGTAGTCTCTAGTGAAAGGTTAATGTGATCTATATATATATATATATATAAAAGGACTGTTTGGTATATACTTTGCTTGACCATTTGGTTGGAAGTTTAGTAGCATTCATTTTGAAGAAATCGAATACTACCCCATCAAAGAGCAAGCATTTCAATCATACAGGGGAGATGGATATGTTTTGAAATATAAAATGACAAGCTGCCTTAACAATATTGCCTCACTGATCACGCAAAAGGCCTCATGCTTTTTGAGTGAAAATTAAAGGAGATGAGAATTTATTCTGGCTGTCGCACTTAGCATTTTTCTCTTGTGTTGGCTGGTGAATAGGTTTCATTTCTCAGTGAGAATTGCTAATGAGGCTGAAAACTTGATACAGGGAAAATTATTCTGGAATCTGTCATATTGACTACTGTGGTGGTGTTCAGCCTGACTATCTACACCTTTTGGGCCGCAAGGAGAGGCCATGATTTCAACTTTTTGGGCCCCTTCTTGTTTGGAGCTTTGCTAGTTCTTCTGGTCTTTGCCTTGATACAGGTATTTGGGTCATAAAACCTTTCTGCTTGATATGCTTGTACTATTGGGCTTTTAACCCCTGTTATGGTAATGGGATCCTACTATAATGTGTTGTTCATTTCCTTGCAGATTCTGTTTCCATTGGGTAAGTTGTCACTGATGATCTATGGGTGCCTGGCATCAATTATATTTTGTGGCTACATCATATATGATACAGACAACCTTATCAAGAGATTCTCCTACGATGAGTACATATGGGCTTCGGTGTCCTTGTATCTAGATGTCATCAACCTCTTCCTTTCTCTGCTTACTGTTTTTAGAGCTGCTGATTAAGAAGATGGTTGTAGTAGCATATACTCCTTGCCTTGGTACATATGTTTGCTTTAACGAACTAGAATTTTATGTGAAAAGATAGTTCTTATGAAGTTATCTCCATAATTCCATGTAATTGTCGCTGTTGGTAGGCTGTTGCCTAAAAAATGGAATTTTGCACTGAATTGTAAATACACATTTACCCTATTGATAACTAACATTATTACAATAGTTGGGTTTTTTGTACAAATACTTTGCCTTGTAATATTGTTGTTTCTGTATTATAATGCATGTCTAAATTCAACAAGTGGGCGTTAGTGTAATATAGGACTGTTCACAGGAGAGGGTGCCTTGATTTCAGTCTTCGGATACCTTTATTTTTGTACCTCCTTTTGGTATTAAGTTGTTGCTTCTTGGCAATGTCATTACCACTTGATTCTTAGCAAGTCCTAGAAGGGAAAAGGATCTTCCTTCACGCGAATTACTATTATTTTTTTAAATAGTTTTACTGCCCGACTAATCTGTTTCGTGTTAGATTCTATTTGATGATCTATATAGTGTGAAACTGTATTTGATGTTGACAAACCACCTAAAAGTGCCAGCAAGTACTGTTTCAGAGGCAATTGATATTACAGTAACAGCGTGGAAAATATTTGCAACTTTCTTTCTTCAAATGTTGGCTATACACTGTTAATTGTATTGCATCTTTGAATATTCCCCCCAAAGTTCGCATACATCTCATTATTACCGAACTAATTATACAAAAGCTGAATTTCACCTACTTTGCTTATTTTTTTATTTAGAATAATAAGGAGAGCAGGAGATCTAGCTCTTAACAATAAAAACTCAAATACCCAGTCTCGAAAGCTTAAGTTGTTGAACGTAAGCACATCAATCGTTTTATATTTATAAGCTATTAGCTATCCATGACAATGTATGGCAACATTTGAACGATTCTTCACTCTAGGTGAGTGTTGACACGTGCATTGTCAAGGGAGAAAAAGACACTCCTACGATTATACAAATTTAGACAGCAAATGGTAGTAATTTCTTGCGGAAGTCACCAAGTCCATTTGAGTCCTTGCCAATGATGATTGTTTGAGGCAAACAAATGGAAAATACATCTGGATACATATAATTTGAATTGAGTTCAGTAGTCAGCAATTGTTGGTAGAAATAAGATGACAAATTCAATTCCCATATCTGTTGTTTTGTCTTTGTGCAACAATGGAGAGAAGCCTCGAAACCCCTTGTGTCCATATATCATATTCTCTTTGATTTCGACATTCAAACTCCACAATCCCCCTTGCATCTGTCTTCAGTCCAAAGTACCGTCGCTTTTCACCATCATCAAACAGATGTCTTCCTGGCCATGCTGGTAAATCCGTGCATATATCTAGCACAACATCTGCAAAATTTAGAGCACAAGTTGTGAGTTATTGTTTATGTATGCTTCAGTGCCAACAAAACAAAGTTGTAATTAAATAGCTTCTTAGTGCTTACTCTTTTTCTTTTTGGTAATGGTTCCTGCAACATGTCTGCTCTTCATTTTCAGCATTACCTGAAATGTTTGCAAGTCTTGTGATTGAATGAATGAACATTAGGCCAAATACATCTGCTGCAAATTCTTAAATGAAAAATTACCTGGCCTGTTCGATGTATATAAACAGACACTATTTTCCAGTGAAGGTCACCTACATTTTCCACCAAAATGAAGTTTACTCATTTATGCAAATAAGAGAAACTGATTTAGTACTAATAGCAGCATTTGAAATTGGTAATACCTTTACGGGTGCGCTTGAGTAATTCACTGCCTTTAGCAAGTAGCTCTTGACTGCAGGCACCCAGAAAATTTTCTCCATTGAAAACTTCCCCACTATCACTGGTACTGGTATTGCTGGTATTAGTATTACTGTTGATACTTTTACCACACAGTCCAATCCCCCCTATGCCTCTCTCTAGTGGTGTCACTGTGGCAATATTCCACACCTCCTTCAAAGCTCTTGCTTTCAAGGTTGCTGCTCCTCGTAGAGCTGCACATGAATGACAATATAAGGACAGAAAAAACAAAACAAAATTACTAGTATCTCTCACTACTCATGCAATGCATAAACATGAGACATTGTATCCTTGTAGCACCAGGGGACTAATTAACAATGAAATGTTGACTCTAGTTGATACTTGACAGTTGAAACAGCTTAATTAGTCATTCTGTATGGTTAAGTCACACAAGTCAACATTTTGCAAAGATCTTCCAAATATATCAAGGAAATGGACCCTTAATGAGTGCAAAAACTCTACCAGTGGCAGCTGCAGCAGTAAGAGTCGTGATATCATCGTGAGAACGGACATTTACAGCAGAGCTGACCACAGAAGCAAGGTGGTCACGCTCAGCCCCCATTGCTTCAGCAGCCTCTACACACTGTGCAGCAACTAATGTGGCTGCAGAAGCAACAGCCATGTCAGTCTTTGCCATCTTCTCATCCTTGTTGGGTGCAGTTGAGCCTGCTGTTGCAGCCGCAATGGCTGCAACAGCAGCAG